GATCGACCTGTAACTTCCAGAGATATCCACAAAAGATCGCTTACTGTATAGCACCACAGGATGTACTCTAGGCTATAAACTATAACGGTGAACGCGCACCGGGTGAGAATAGCCAAAAGACTAGCCTGCACTATTCTCATCCCGGGTGAGAATAGAGGTGGCCTTTGGCCCCAAGAGTAGGGGGGTTTCAGGCCCCCCTGACCTAACAAAAATAGGAAGGGGGGGTTTCAGGGGGGCATGCCACAATTTGATGTTTTGCTGTTGTTAGGTTTGATATCTTAGCTCACCGCGAATCAAACGTATATTAATAGAATCTAGATCTAGATTCTAGATCTAGATCTAGATGTAGAACTAGATGTAGATCTAGGTCAGGCTCAAATAAGGGGGGTGGGAACTACCGAAAAGCACCAAAAGTTCCTCAAACCAATGTTAAATATAAGTATAAGAAATTATATCTCACCCCGGGTTGAGAATAACCACTTCCATCAACAAACATAAAAGTAAAAGACAATATGGAGGCGGGATGGCTATGAGATCTAGAATCTAGAACTAGATCTAGATCTAGATCTAAGTCCCGCCTGCTAAACATAAAAATATAAAAGGCACGGGCCAGGGGCAAGGCAAGGTCCAATCTCGAAACAGGCTAGATCTACTAGACTCTAGAATCTAGTAGAAGACGAGAGCGAGCCTCCTACGACTACGGCACGGCAGTGTCAGTGGCGGTGTTACAGAGATCGTTTCTACTGGCATAATGTTATTAATGTAAGATGTCCCAAATTTGAAAAAGAACATTAGTCTGAAACAGATTACCTTCTCCGTTTTGCCATGGCATAAAAGAGGTAAATAGGTTGAGATCGTGTTCACCGTTATGTGGCTGATGTTCGTGCCACCTCTTGTCACAGTTCTCCAGATAAGGCTTGGCTTATGACGCCTTTTTTCTTTTTTGTAAACTTATAGTTTGCGCCAAGGGAAGGGGGGCTACTCTGCGTGTTTGTAAAACAAATCGTCGTGAAAAATCTGATTATCAAAATTAATAAAATGTTTTGGGGAAAAAATTCAGTTTATTTTTAAATAAAATATCAGATATATAGATCTAGACCTTGAAATTGTTGTAATGATTTTGAAAAATGTTTACAATACATAACTTCAACGAGATAGTGGATGTAAACGAAAAGTAATTATTTGTAGAACGGGAAAAAATTAATACGAAATTATTTTGCGCCCAAGAATAATGGGGATCAATATTTTCGTGTTTGTATTTGACTGAAAATTCAATTATTAGATCTAGGCCTACAGGCGGCATTTAGTGGATTACTGAAATAATTAAAGTTAATGAATAATGAATTAATTTAGTCTACACTTTTCGAAATTCATCACAACATACTTTGCGTTTTATAGCCATATGCTTCTTTGGCAATTGAACGAGGTGTCCCTCGTAGGCATATAAACAAAACAGTTTAAATGAATATTAAGAGGATCGATCGATCAAATTAAAAAAGACCAAAAAAACAAACAACAACATTAGGCCACATCACAGAATTCTACACTAAGTGTAGAATTCTGTGGGCCACATGTATAATATTTACTGAGCAAGGAATCAATAAATAAGCTTTGGCACAACGTGTGCGCTAATAATAATAATAATAATAATAATAATAATAATAATAATAATAATAATAATAATAATAATAATAATAATAATAATAAAAATAATAATAATATAATGATAATAATAATAATAATAATAATAATAATAATAATAATAATAATAATAATAATAATAATAATAATAATAATAATAATAATAATAATATATAATGATGATGATGATGATAATGATAATAATAATAATCATAATCATAATTCGAAAATAGGGGAGGGATTAATATACTGAAACAGCAAACAAAGAAAACAATTTTAACAGCTTTTATATTCAGCTGTAAACAAAAATGATAATTTATGGTTGAAATGAAGATAACTCATCGCGCACCGTGTCTGGTGCACGAGTATAATAATAATAATAATAATAATAATAATAATAATAATAATAATAATAATAATAATAATGATGATGATGATGATGATGATGATGATGATGATGATGATGATGATGATGATGATGATGATGATGATGATGATGATGATGATGATGATGATGATGATGATGATGATGATGATGATGATGATGATGATGATGATGATGATGAGAATAATAATAATATTCTGGCGATAATCGTGCATTGTACAACTTTTTGATCGTGTAAAAAATCGGTCTTTTCGGTCTCTTTTCCTTTCACGTGAGTAAAAAGTACTCTAAAACGTAGGCCATATGCTATAGAAACAAAAATTTGGTTCTTATATTATTATTATTATATCGTTTTCTCAGCACTCCTATCAAAAAGAAGAAAATCCGTGAAGTTTACCGACCACATATATAGCACACGTTTTCTTTTATAATTTAAAAAATAATTAAATTAAGGTATGTGTTTACCAAAAGACGCAACAACATTTGATCCTTATCCACCAAGAAAGAGGGAAGGTTTTCTAACTCGACAACATTATTATCAGAGAAGGAGCCATCAGCATCATAATATATGCCGCGCTCATTATAGCTGCGAGGACATTCGTCAACAGAAAAAAATACGCTGAACAACTTTTTTAATGTTGCTGGGGCAGAAGTTTAGAGACTTTTTCCTTCACTTTTTAGAAAAGGACAGAGCCGCTGGAGGCTTTAAAGAATGCGTGTCGTGTCGTAATATACTCGTATACATGTCATTTGTCTTTCACAATCACTGCTCTCGTCGCATTCAAATACTCACATTATGTGCGTGCTAGTGTGTGTTTATGTGCGCGCGAATGTGTGTGTATATATATA